TGTGTTACTTTTTAATTCTAAAGGTATATCCAGATACCTTTAAGCTGATCCATTCTGTTTGGAAAATGGGAGCAAAAAGTATAGGTGGTGTTTCTAAGGAGCACGACCTAGTAATGTATTGTGTCTTGCTAGATTACTTAATTCCTGTTTGAACATAGTAGTGCAATTTCCTGGCAAAGCCTTTCAAGCTGAGGCAGCCTGTATATGTTGAAAATCCATACTGATGTGTGAGGGAAATGTGACATGAGAGCAAGTGCTTATAAATTTGTAAGCTTGTCAGGAACATCTCAAGTGTCTGCACCAAAACCCAAACCCCCCAGCTTTTACTCTCTGCTGTGAATATAGCCCTGCAACTGGAGTTAATTTGCAGTTTTCTTCCTCTTATCCCTGTCATTCTAATTTCTGTTGCTCATGCTTATCTTGAAAATCAGGAAGTGAATTTAATAAAATTTCTAATTTTAATTATCTTTGCTGCTAGTAGTAGCCATTTTATGGAAACGTTTTGCATAACACAGTAAGCATTTAGTTATTCTACCTATGCTGAATGGGTTTAGAGTGTGACATGTCCCTCACATTGGAAAGGCTCTAGCAGTGAGATGTTGCTCCTCCCCTTCAACAGCGGTAGCTGCAAGTAGGTCTTTGTGCCCTCCTGTGTTTGTTTTTTTTTTGTTTGTTTTGTTTTGTCTTTTTAAAATTTCAGTTAACTATTGCTTTCATCTATTTTAATTAATTTTTAAATTTTCCATCAGGAAAAGTGCTAAGCGTTCAGGCGAGGTTCTCAGGCATGAGTGCTTTTTGTTGCAGGAGTGAATCATTGAAAGAAAGGCAGAGACCTTGTTTTGGTCACTTTTGCAAGAGAAAATACTGAGTTTTATCAATGCTACTAGTTTGGCTTACTTCCGTTAACTTCTGTTTCTTTAATTAAATGCCAGTTGTAGTAGTAATTTTTTAAGAAAACAAACTATTAAAAACAAGGTGTGGTGGGTCACACTGCACTTTTCAGTGAGCCACACATTTATCTTTTTATTTCTTTTGTTGGCTGACATTGACCCAGTTTTGACAGTTTTTTAAAAAGTACGTGACTGGATGGAGGAGAGAAACTTGGTTAGTTTAGAGGAGGCTCTATTCAAGTGATTTCTTAGAAAATTCATGTAAGAGAAACCTTTATAAATTCTTTGATAGCAGGAAAAGCTTCAATTGAAGGTTGGGAAATGCAGCTAAATAGAAAGTTGTAGGCTTCTTTAGTGCTGGTACTCACGGAATTATTTGTCTCACTGAACCACTATTAATTAGGCTGGCTAAACTAAGCAGCATTAAAAATGTTGCCAAGATACTTGTAGAGACATTGGGTCTGCAGTCCAAACCTGCTATTACAGCGTGCTGGGAGGATGTGCTGCTCTGGCCAACAACCCTAGTGCACTTTGGTTTGTGTTAGAGCTGTTCAAAGAGGCTGAGCTGTGTCTCATATGTTGAATTAGGAACATGTTTCTGATTGGCATATATTTAAGGAATTACAGATCTTTATATATATACATACATTTATATATCTGCATTTGTTGAATACTATTCAGAAACCTCATAATTCTCTTCCTTGTGGTCATTTTGACAGGTAGAACAAATAGGGCAAAAAACGAGGTGCTTGCCTCTCCAGCAGTGCTTTAAAACACTAATGATGTGCCTTGGATAAAAGAAGAATAGATACTGAAATGAGACTAGGCTGTACTAAGCATGCAAGAATGATTAAGTACTGTAGTTTAAAGGATAAAAACAGGAAGTTCAAAGAAATGCCATTCACATAACTGCAGTATCTGATTTTATCTAGGGAATGGTGCAATTCATTAAAAATTGTTATGCAAAATAGAAATAAAGCTCCCAGATAATTTTTGTTTTAAGTAGTGAGTTAAAGAAACAGGAATGCTTTAAATATTGTGTAATTGTTTGTTGCACATAGGTGCTCTGCACATTTAATAAATAAAAGCAACATTGACACCTGGTGTGGTGAGAGATTTCAAACCTTCCTAGGGATGCCCAGCTCCTAATAGCTTTTTGATGATAGTTCTGTATTTAACCATGTTCTCTCTGTCTTTTCTCACTAGCCATTTTAGAGCATCTCTGGTAAGGACAACTGTTACTTAGGAGAAGATTTGCCTGAGAAACACTTTTTGGTATATATTTTTTTTGGGCAGTGTTAGGACAGATTGGGATCTCCTTAGTGGAGTGTACTCCTGTGTTTTCACAAAAGTATCTGTAAGTGCTTTTCTAAGCTTCTGATGGATTATTGGTATGGTCATATGAATAAATATTTAGCAAAAGGGATGCTCTTGTTTTAGAAAATAAAAAATGTTAATGATAAGACAATATAGTTGTGGATGTCATGAGGACAAACCAGGATTTAAAAAAAAACAACACATTTGTGGCTATTTTAATTCTAATATGTGCTTTTTAGGGAGCTAGAGATGTGGAATTGTAAAGGTTTTTTATATTCCTGTTACATTTCAACTGTGTTACTAAAAGCCTTTAATACTTGGAGAAGGGAGTGCCTTTCCGAATCAAAAAATGTGTTCAAATTTTTGCATTCAGATTTGGTGCATCTTTTGCCTATTGAGTGTTTATAAACTCTTCAAAGCTTTATCCTTTTTATTCCCTAGAAGGAACCCATGGTTTTTGGAGTAAAACACATCAATTTCAGTTGTGTTTTTCTGTGACAAGGAACAACAGTATATATTGAAGGATTGTTGCTGAGGTTGCAAAACCTTGCACTTAAAGCCTGACTTACGTGTAAGACACTCAAAATAAGATAGAAAATCTGCATCATAATACAGATTAATAAAATTTTGCTCTTACCTTGTGTCCTACTGCCCCTTTTTGTGTCAAACTAACGTGGAATTGAGTGACATTCAGAGCACATTCTCCAGCACCCAAATAAAATAATAATAATAAAAAGGGCCTAATTTCCGAGAAGGGCTTGCAGGTGATTAAACATAACCCGATGTCCCAGACTTCCTACCATCTTGCAGTTACCCTGAGAAGCAAAACCTGTGAGGGTGCAGGCACACACACATGCTGTGTGTGGGTGAGGTGCACAAGTTCTGACTGCTGGGCAAAAATGCTTGTGCACTCTGGGGGCACAAAACTCGCTCAAAATTTGGGGAATCTGGTCATTTATGGTCAAAACTTGTGTTTAAAGTAATTTAATTCTTCACAATTCCTTTCCTCAGCACTTGCAGTCACTCTTATGCAAAGGCCTGCCTGGGAGAGAGGAAAGCTGTGATAAGGGCCCTCCAGCTTTCACACCTTAATAGGTTTTTAATGACCATTTTGTCTTTCAATCACCAGCTGTTCCCAGAGCCTGGGGTTGACCTGATTTGTAGAGAGGCCTGTCTCCTTTGTTGGTTGTTTTGTCTTGGTGGCTGCTAGACCCTCTGAACCCATAGCTGGAGGTCAGGGAAAGGTAGCATTCTCTCTGCTTGGCATGCCCAGGTCCTTATTGGCTGGGTTGGGTTCTTCTTCAAGCTGGGAAGACCTGGAACTGTGTGTATCCTGCCCAACTTTCATTAGTCCTTCTGAAACTGGGCCATGGGATGGAGGATGTGTGAGGCTGGAGATAAAGTCTTCCTGAGGGAGACTGGCTCTGTAACCTAGTTGGTTGTGGCTGTCGCTGGTGAAGAAAACCTTGCCAGCCCCTCTCTGTGGATTTTCTGGATTGTCCTTTAGAAGTGTCTCTCTGCATTAACTTCCTAATGAGCCCCAGTGTATAATTAGGATGCTTTTAATTACCCTGCTGGGTAACCTCACCCCATTAATGATTTTGAAGCAAGCACTCTGGATTTCGGTAGTGTCTGTCTGCTGTGATCTTTAATAGTGAGCTTTACAGATTTAATTAGCTCAAATTTTAAAAGTGGCTTCCAGTTATTGCTTATCATTTATCATGCTTACATATAAGTTATGTGAATATTTTCTGACGTGGAATTTGTTCTTTCTTTCAGCCTTTCTTCCAGCTTGTGAAGTTACGGAAACTTGGACTTAGTGATAATGAAATCCAGCGGCTCCCTCCAGAAATAGCGAATTTCATGCAGCTGGTGGAACTTGATTTGTCTCGAAATGGTAAGCTCCAGGGTGAATTTGTTTGATTCTATACCATCCTATGACACGGTCTATAAAACTGGGTTAGTAGGGTTTTTCTGTCTCTGAAGTTGCTATCTGTGTCCTGCAGAACACTTTTCTGTGTAATTCATGGATTCGCCTGTAGGTCTAGATGGGGAGGAGGGAAAAAGCAGAGGAGAGCCGGTGGTGGTAATACAATAATAAAGTAATGCTTGACTGTAGTTATGCCTTTCTGAAAGCCTGCTTTATTTTCCAGTTTAAAGAATGCTCTACATCCTATTTTTTCATGTGTGCCTGTCACAATGTTGATTTCTTTCCCCAAGCTCTCTGAAATGCCTAGAATTTAAGAAAAAAAAAAAAAAGAGACTGAAAGAAGAAAGCTCCTTTCTGTTTGAAAGAAGGCTGCCTGTGGGTTAGAAGTCCAGTTCTTTATCTCTGCTCTCCTTTCTACGTGTGATTAGCAAGAGGCAGAGTTCTGGTATTTCCAGTGTTATTTCCATCAGCCTGATGGTCACTTGCAGAGATAACTTCAGAAAAGGATGCTGGGATAAATTGTCTTTTAGCATGTGTTACTGGAAGCCACATGGCTTTATAATTAGGTTTTAATGTTTGCTGCTTATATTGTCCAGAGCTGTGATACAGTGAAAAAAATGATTATTTATTTTTATTTTTATTTTTTGGTGGCCTGGTGAACTTACCAGTTCTGCAAGAAATTCAGGGGCTGGTGGGTCACCTTTAAACAGCCATACGACCCAGAGATCTAGAAATAGAGAATCTGTGTTACCAAATTAGAGCAACTGTCAGCTATTTTTTCTTTCTTAGATGCAGTGAATATGCACAAAGGGCTCTGAGGTGTGATGGATGGGGTGGGAGAGAGCAAAGTTGCATAACCTTATAAATAAGTGGGGGTGTAACTGAATATTCAAGAGTATTAGTGTAATGGGGAGCCTTTTATTATTTCCAGTTTAACTGCGCATTGAACCTTTGTCACTGAAGAATATTCAGTGGCCACTATACCTTCCTGTACTGTCTGAAATGTGCATCTTTCCTTTATTTGTTTGGTGCTTCTAACACCATCTTTATCTGATAATATAACTGATGAAGCATAATGAGTCTCCAGGCAGTTTCTGAAAAATTTCAGTGAACCATATAATTTTATGCACATGTGCAAAACCTTGTAAGAGAAGAAAACTGGAAAAAAACATCTGAGAGACACACTAGTTAAAACATTTTAGAAATACACCAGCATTAATCGACATAGTATTTTGGCTGCTGAGTTGGATGCTGTCTGTGACAGACCTTACACAAAAGGAAACACTGTTGGTTTAGTAATCCTCTTTGCAAATGAATAACTAACTGCAAAAGAGCTGGTGGATCAGAGCCATGTGAACTCTTGTCAGCCTGACTTGGAAGTTGGCTTGAGAGCTCAACTGTAACGAGAACAGATGGTGTGAACGTTTATGGTTGGGTAGATGCATGCGTGTCATTAGAAGTTGCTGCACAGGGAAGTGTTTTCTCAACCGATGCAGGCGGCATCAGAGAAGCAGCAGGCGGCAGGGAGCAGTTGCTTCCCTATATCCAAGGTTCAGTGTTAATCGCCCATTTTATTGCATTACTTTCTCTTTTCTGTGGTTCAATGCAGAAGGTGACTGATCCTGCTTAATTATGTCACAGTTATTGCACAACTTGACTCTTCAAATGAGAATCGCACCATGCGAGGTGGTGCAGGGGGGGCAGTGCAGAAGATGACTGATGTTACTTTCCCCTGTTTGGTCATCTTGTGGTTGTCTCATAACTCTTAAAATTAGAAGGCAAAACACACACCATCTGGAATGAAGCAGGGGGAATTCTCACATAAGATTTTGGAGATTTACAGCATTTTAATTTCTTAGCCTTGTATTTTGAACCCGCTTTCCAATATGTCAGATTCTCAACCTGCCAAACATTTCTCCTGCTCAGTGGTTTGGACTCCATCGTTTTTGTTTTTCTAAGTACAAAAGTACTTAGAAAAAAAAAAAAAAATAGGAACTCTTTGTATTCCTTTCAGGCCGAGAAAAACAGCTCAGCTTTTCAAAATGCAGTATGCTGCATGAATAGGAAAGTGTGATGGTGACATCTGAACTTGGGAAATAAGAGATCATTGTTCTGTGTTTTTTGTTGCTTTAGCTGTCTGGTTCGGTGCACTAATTGCTTTCAGTTCTGGCCATTCTATTTCCTCAATAGCTTAAAAATGCAAATAAAAATTAATGTAATGTTCTGTGTACAGGAGTAGCCCTTTATATTTAACCTCTCATCACAGGAGGAGGAGAGGGTTTTGAATAAACAAAGTATTCCATTTCCCTCATAATAAAATGGTAACATGTCCTCCTTTCTCATACTTTCTAATCCTTTGGTCATCAAATGATCTTTGAAACTTCATGAGACGATGGGTACATTGTACAGCTGGACTAGGGTGCACTTCCAGGCTGCAGTGACTGGCTGCATTTTGTGCAGCACTGAGGGGTTGCATCTGAAGGTGGGATTCATCCCCCCCAAGCAGGATACCTCCTGGTTCCTCAGAAGCAGCTTTGCGTGTTTGTGCAATTTGGTGTTACACGCTGAGTAAGTAGCCCTAGGTCTTAGGCACTCAGGAAGGATCAACAGGGAGACTGGTATATGTGGCTTTCTTAAGTTCCCAAGTGATTTAAAATGCCTGAGACATGCTAGTGTATGTTAAAAATATGCTACATAATTAATCCTATTAAGCAATTTTTGGTTAATAAGTAAATTTAGAATGGCAAAAATCCTTCTAAGTAAAACTCAGAAATCTTCAGCAAATGTAAATTTGATGCTCCTGTGATCTTGGGTGTATGTGAGAGAAGTCTGGGAAGGTAAGATGAGAGCCTTAGTGGTGCAGAAGGAGAAGGATTTGGGGAAGGCTAGAAGCCATATAAACTTACATTTTTCCTGGATTATTTGCATGTTGATGCTATTTCTTATTCCTCTGCAATGCCATGTGATCATGCAGATTTCCTAGGAAGTATTCCCACTGCTTTTCTAGTCCTGCTGAGGGTGTTATTTGAGCAAAGTTTGAATGGATGAATCAAGAATGGGAATATCAGAGGGCAGAGAAGCTGTGCTAAGAGAACAGCATAGGGATGGCAAACACTTTGAAGGTTATTTGGCAGTATGGTTTATCTTTGCCCCTTGGTCTTTGGTTGTTAAAAAAACTGATGTATTAGTCCTGAGGCTAGAAAAGAAGACTTGTAGAATTTCAACAGTGGACGTCTGAGTCTTTGAGTTGCTGTCAAAGCATGTCTGAGACTGAGTGTTCCCTGTGGCATCATCTGAGATGCTTAACTGCTGTGTGTCTGGTTCCCTCAGACTCCCCAAGCTTGGGTAAATCTTTTTCTAGATTCTTACATCACTGGTGAATTCTGCAAGGACGCAGGGTCACTGAAATGTCCTTCCTGATGTCATTCAAGGTTGGGTAGGACTGTACATTGCATTGAGTTTCAGTGAAAGTCTTTGCTACACATAGTAGAGGAGAGATTCTGCTCTATGAAGTGTACTGGGGCACTTTCCAGGACAAGTCTTGAAAGACCTCATGATTCAGAAGAGAGGTGCAATCTCAAAAGGTGTGCTTAAATTTCCACAGATTTTTCCTTGTGCTTTGACTGGCATTTCATTAAATGTCTCTGTCTCCCAAAGTGTGTGCAGTTTGTCTGAGATCCCTGGGAATTGTGGCAGGCTGGTACCCATGCTGCTCGTCCAGCCGAGGTTTCCTCCAGTGGCTCCCTCCCCCCTTTTCTTCTTTGCAACCCCTGGAGGCTGAATTCTTACAGTTTAGGGCCCTGCTATCCAAGAGTCATTAAAATGTGAATGGCTTTTCTTGGTCTGTAGCTTCTTCCAGACAGGAGGGGTAATGCATAAAGTTTCTCTAGGTGATTTAATGCGTGGTGGTATTTGGGTATATATGTGCCACCTATGTATGCTGTGTTCCTGCAGACGTGGTGCAGTCCTGTTTAGCATCCCTATTCTCTATGAAGAGGATTTTTTTTTTTTGCCTTTGACAAGCATTTTAGATCCCACTGGTGCATTTTCGTTACGATATTGCATGCTCCTTAAAATGCCCTGAAGATGTTAATTTAATGGTAGCATTTTTATTTGAAAGAATGCACTTTTCTCTGAACAGGTGTGGCATGTGAGCCCCTTTTTTTTTTTCCTTTTCCTTAAACGTCCTATATGTTTTCCAGACTTTGTCAGATTGTCAGCAGCTTGTTTCATTCAGCTCTTCTAGGATACTAGCAGATTCTGTGTACCAGCAGATTTGCACTGTCTGTAGTGGCTCTCTAGCTGGGAGCAGGTAAGGGGATTCAAGTTAGCTATTCTTCCGTGGAAGTGCTGAGATATGTTGCTTTGTGAACTGAGGGACAATAGGTTTGCTGTGGCATGTAGTGAGGAAATCTGTGTGTGAGCAGATCTTGTTAAGCCATATTTGTCTCTGCATGGTGCTTGATACCAAAATCTCAATGTGGGTCTTTACTTTGCTATATAATAACAGTAATATCAATAACAACAATAACAGTAATGATTATGTAATAACGTTAATTTAATATGCATGGCTTCATACCTACCTGGAAGATGGATACTGGCTGCATGATATATAAGTTATTACCCATTTTTGTAGTTTCAGGTTAAACTGAGCTTACGACTGTATTGATAGCAGAATCGCTCTGGACAGAAGTCTTGTGACATCAGGATATTCTAATTCCAAAATCCTCTCTGAACACAGTTGCCATATACAGTTGCAAATATACTCTCACTTACATGAAAATAATTACAGATTTCACAAAAGATAAAGGTGCTACCCCAGAACTACTGTAACAGTAAAAATGATTCCTCAGTAGTATCTCAATAGTCACAGAACTGTAAGGAGAGAGCTGCTGCTGTGCAAGGCTGGCAGTCTGAGCAGTGCCCAAGATAGACTGTAGTTGCAGATTTAGAATCTTTTGTTTTAT